AGGAGGGGCACAGGAGAGCTAATCTCTTCAAAGTAACTGCAACTCATAAATTACACACATGCAAAGCTGCTAGATGTTAGACACCAGGGGGCCACAACAGGCAAACACAAAGAGAGCTGGTACATACAGTAGGTGATGTGCTGTGCTGTGCGTCCAGTTTTCAGACCCCATCAGTAAAGAGATATGATTCAGAGTCTCTGACTCTGCAGTCCATGCTGAGCAGCCCCCACTGTGCACCACCATCGCCACAGTTGTGACTCAATAATTACCATATGTACCGTAATCACCATCATAGTCAAAGTAATTCAGGTAGCTGACTGCGTCAGCACGCCTGGGCTGCAAAGGAACACGTAAAGGTTTATTCCCTGCTGGAAGGAGAAGGACAGAAACACGTTTCGACTGTGGAGCCTTCTTCGGGTGTCACACGTTGTTTCTTTTCTTCTCTTTCCAGCAGGAAATAAACCTTTAGTATAATGCAAAGGAAGAACAAATAAAAGTCACTCTCTTTCAAAATATTGTCATAGTCTTTACTTGACGTCTGAACTTATCGTTTTAATTCTAAACCATATGCAGATGATAGGTCACATCAATTTGTTTAAAGCATTTAAAACCTAACACCTGAACAAGGTGCAGTTATTTATCCAGCCTTACAGATATCTCTAGCAGGCTGCTGCAGTCGAAAGGCAGTGTGCCTGTGCTCCGACCATTACAGAAAACCATTTAGTGGAATTCGAAATATAAAGCCAATCAAATAAAATATTTTGAAGTTATTTCAGTTCACTTCTGTTTTAAATCAGGCTTTTACTTTTTTTCTTAATAAGTAACACATCGCCGACACAGCCAAGGGAATCGCTTCGGCTGCCGAAGTACCTAACACGGGCACACCAGGGCGGAAAGATTAAATACAACCGAGTTTTAATCTGGCGAGCAAGTCCGAAACAAACAAACAACTACGAATATTGTTAAAGTCACAGGAGAGCGTTACTGTGTCATTACAACACTCTGAGTATCAGTGTTAGAGGAGCTGGATGCTCCATTGCGCGGTACTGCTGCTAAATGAGACCGCAGAATCTGCCTTCTGACTCACACCCGGCTTCTTAATTAACTGGTTTTCCACATTCGCTTTAGCTACATCACCCCTGAAGAGAAGATTAGCTGGTTAATTACGCAACTCCAAAAAACAAGGGAGAACGTTATACATTCCTTTCCCCCCGATATACTACCGCGATCCGAACGCCCCGACTGCGGTAGACACACGGGCTTCAGACGGTTTCGCGACAGTAGATGATCGTGTTGAAAGGTTGAGCTCAGGGGTGAATTGATGGGTCGATCGATCATTGACAGTGCTATGCGTCCGCCTTGTCGGAATGAAGTCCAGCGCTTCGTCATGACATAGCGTCCTGCTGTCGGCCAGATCAAGTGCATGAGGTTGATTTATATCATGTTCCTTCCTATCCAGAGTCCGGAGAGGCCGGCGTCCCTTTCTTTATGGCCTACATTATGAAATGTTAAGAAGTGTGTTTTTTTGTCAGTTGATTTTTACAACAAAATAGATTATGCCAAGGAACAATAGGTTTATTCCACGCTGAAAAGAGAAAAGAAAAGAAACGCAACGTTTCGGCCGTGGAGCCTTCTTCAGGTGTGTGCAACCTGAGCAACCTCACACCTGAAGAAGGCTCCACGGCCGAAACGTTGCGTTTCTTTTCTTCTCTTTTCAGCGTGGAATAAACCTCTTACTTGTTCCTTTGCAGCCTACGCGTGCTGACGCAGCTCCCCACCTAGATGATGTCAAGTCTTGGAAGTTATTGTCGAACTTCGTGGGGGGGCGGAGTTGAGTGGAGCTTTTACTTTTCATTGGAGGGTCTCTTGCACTTTCTGTAGTGCGGAACACTCAGCTGCAGTCTGATTACTTTCTACCCCGTCATAAACGCGAACATCGGGACAACTATTGAAAGTGCAAAAGTGAAAACGTCTGATTTAAAGGCTGTGCAACCTCTAATATGATATATAAAATCGTAGTTGAATTGCTGAAGCCGGAAGCATTGATTTTGATTTTCCAAAGTACATTATACGTTCAGTATGATCTGTAAGAGTTTGCTGGGAAAATACGCACGGCAGTAATCCCATGGTTAAGATTCAAACTTCTGCTGTTTGTCTTTAAGCTGGAGTACGATCAAAAACGAAAAGCGGTTTTCATTTCTTTTTTTTCTTTTGAGCCTTTTTAAGTTTACCGGTCGGTCGGGGGAAAAAAAACTGCGTTTGAAATAACTGTAGTGTGAATTCGACCGGTGGGGAGACAGGCGGCTGCGAGGGTCCTGTTCAAGATCTGCGTGCTGTGTCGGAGTAAAGAAAACCTGATGTGGCCTTATTAGGAGATTCGTTCCGATCAATTCGGATTTATTTACATGGAAAAAAAAACAGCATCTCATTCCAATTGGTTGTCTTTCATTTCGTCGGCTCCCAAGAAAACAGAATTTCGCCTCGCTGAGTCATTTTCACAGACCCCTGATGCAATAGTAACAGTTTTAATTGTAGTACTGCAGGATATCTATAGAAAGTCTCAAGGGGCCACAGATCACACACCAAGCTGACTCTTAAGACAGGGAGCTGTTGACACTTGATTCCCCTCTGAGAGACGAAATGCGTTAGTTCCCAGAGTGTTTGCGCTAGGATGTAACACAGAAAGGTTGCATAAGTCAACAGAAATCCATTCTGCTCGCTTCCTTAGAAATCGACAAATGTCAGTGGGTCCCAGAACGGAGACGAACAGCTTCCACACTCGATTTGAGAAGCACTGTCCGTTCAGAAGCCGAGCCACCGGGGAGAGATCTTTCCTGAAAAGGTTATAATGACCATTCCATACCTGAACCGGTTTGAGATGTGAGACATAAGGGTCGTTTTTCACGACACGATGCTCCGACGCGACAATCCTCCGACCTAAAGGATTTTCGGTGAACGTTAAATGAACTCCCCTTCTAAGTGATACGTGCAGAAATAGGCGGAATTAAACCGCTCCTTTATCGCAACCACCCCCTGCAACACGCCGGCTAAGGCTTCCCGAGTTGTAACAATATGACGATACTTTAACAGGTAGGAATGATCTAGAAATGTATCGCTACACAGCGAAGACCTCAGTGAGGAATGTGCTCGATTCCGGAGTTCGCCACGGCAGGTCTTACTATACGGCTCCTGTCCATCCAGCACCTGTGGAGCATCGTACAGGACGGCGTGTGACCGCTTAAATGCTCTGGGGGTCGAAGCCCTCCTGCTCGTCCCCCGAGCGAGGGCCCTTCCTCTCCCTCACTCTCCTCCTCCTCCTCCTCCTCCGGTGCTCTGGCGGGTGGCCGCCTTGCCGCCTCTGGGGTCTCCGGCCGCCAGGGGGCGGCAGGACGAGTACGGGGCTCCGGCGCGACTTAGCGGAGACCCGAGGCACGAAGACGCGCCCTGAAACCAGCCAAAAGGAAAACAAAAGTGGGAATAATAATTCCCACTTTTGGGAATTAACTTCGCGTAAAATAATAATAACGCGTAGTTTCACCTGACGCGTAAATGAGTCCTCAGTGTCTTTAAATACCCATGTAGAACAATTGCCTGGCCGCTGATACAGGGGTGCTGTGGAGGGACAGTCCGGCGCCCGCATCACGGCAATAGTTGTTCGCCTTATCAATAAGAAAGCAATACCTACCACGTGCCCCTCGTGTTGCCCGGAGGATGCGGGACAAGACAACAGAGAGGAGAGTCCACGGGGCACCCGGGCCGACACCCCAAGATCACACATCTTTTTCCCTCAGAAGAAGGGAATCGGCAACTCCAGATCTTGTTTTGTTTTGGCGAGGCAGACGGCCTCGGTCCGCCGCACTGAGAGCTCCCCCGTCTCAGCTGCAGCCGATCCCCAAAGCCCACCGCTCCCGTCTCCTGCGACCGACAACCTCATCAGAAATCTTCTTTAACAGCGTTTCAGCTGCTTAAAAAGGAATAACGCAACTTACAGAAAGAGCTGCTCACTTTAAGCGCTTCCCCACTAGCAAAATTGCAGAACTACTTCGCATTACAAATAACAGAAAGAAATCAGCTGTATTTTGGTCTGTTCATTGCCGTCAGCTGTACAGCTGCCGGTTTGAACTTTAGAAACTAAAATGTATTCGTCTTAATGAAACTGTCCTAACAGGTGTGCTTGTATCAAAGCGCGTTCGTCAGTAACAGGCTTCACTTTCAAAGCAGTACTGCGTGTAACTGAATGAGAAAAAAACAGCATTCTTTTAAGTAGAGATGTAGTTGTTCTTCTGTATTCGTCGATCATTTTCTTAATCGGGGTTCCCTCTGGAAAGCGGGGCATGGGGGGGGCGACGGGACAGGAACACCCACAATAACAAGCACAGGCGCTAGGGATACATGAACACACACTGTATTATCCCCAATCACCACGATGGATAGCGCAGGCTTTAGACAGGAATAAGAGGAAACGTAGTCAAATTAAAAATAAAATTGTACCGCTAAAATCCACACTCAAAAACGTTTAAGCACGCTGTATTGGGTTGTTATTAAGATAGGGACACGGAGGTGTTCGGGTTGTGCGCCTATCGCAACTATGTTGCGCATTGGTTTTGTCGGTTTGTTTCTTTCAATCCAGGTTTACAGTCTACACCGACCACAACCTATGGGGAGGCGGCCGCCTTTTCTCTGTATTTATACTTGAAGATAAAATTAAATCCAACAAAACCAGGACTTTTAAAATATTTTAATCCCGATCGGTTCGTAGCAACTGCAACACACATCACAAAATGCTAGACGACTCCAAACTTCATTCCGTTTTCACCGAGTCACTGGAACACCTGCGTCTGAATACTCTGGCGTTCCTACCTGCTGGAGGCGTTTAACACACACCTGCTCCAGTTGCGTAAACCACTCGGTAAGCGTTACTATTCTCTAAAAATAATGTCTTAATTACAAAGAGATCTCATTTACAACCGACACGTTTTCCTGCTTACATTTTCTTTTAATCAATTTTAAAGGAAATAAACTTAATCGAGTGGCGACTGTGAACGTTTGCTGTATATTATCGAGCCTCTCTTAAAAACAGTCAAACGGCACAAGATGTTCCCGCTCCAAACGTATTTAGCGGGATCGAATTAGAAAACCGTGGAGCCGCCTTATGTCAAAGACCCCACTGAGTTGTATCCACAGTGGATGAAAGCGATCTTCTGGACTTACTGTACTTTTCAGCCGCCATAGAAGCGACCGACCCACAAAGCAAATTAAAGAATGTGTTGATGTTTCAGCATCGGGCTGTACAGTCGTTCATGATGGACTTTTTTAAGTTAACACACAAATGTAATTTAACCGGTGTTGACATGGTTTTCGAAGTTAAATCAACCGGCCTTTACACAATCCACAAAACAGCAAGGTTTCCGTCAACAGATGCGTGTTTAAACAGAATTATTTTCCGTCTCACGAAGTGCGTCTGCTTACATGGAGTCTCTCTCTTCTGCTCGGGCTTGTAGAAGCGAGACAGGCGGCAAAGCGAAGTCATCAGGCAGACGGTCTTGACTCACACCTGTAGCCCGGCGGGATCGTTACCCTATTCAGCACACAAGAACCTCAACACATCGCGCCAAGCTGCAGATTGCGTATGCATTTTTATTTAACAAAATACCTTATGTACAGTTCATATGTAAAAAATAATAATTTACAGGATGTACAAAGAAGAAAATATACGTCTTATCCGCGTGATTGTCTGCTGGAACACGAGACTTAAAAAAAAAAGATGAAACCTATGAGGTTTAAAGACCAAGTCGCAGCGCGCCCGGGGACCCCGCTCACTGACAGTTCAAGCCGCTGGCTGGGCCGTGCTTGAAGATGTACTGTGCCGGGTAGTAGACTGGGGAATACTGTCCGTTCCTCAGAGCCCAGTCCGGCCACAAGGCGCCCGTGTCCGGGCCGCAGCTTGTCGAGCGGGCTCGATGCCCGCCGCCCGAGGTCGCCGTTTCCGCCAGCGACCATATCTTGGACTTCTGGGCTTTGGGCTCGTTCTCCGTGCAGCCCAAACCGGACCGCGCACAGACCGCCTCCGTGTCGCTCTCGGTACCCGGGGCCGGGGGCACTCGCTCCGAGCCCGGTAGCCCCCCGGCGTCCGCTTCTGCATCCTTCACGGCCCGGGGGTCCTCCTGCTCGTCCCCCGAACACGGGCCCTTCGGCCCGAGCCCTTCCTCTCCCTCACTGTCCTCCTCTTCCTCCTCCTCCTCCTCCTCGGACCGGCCCTTGGAGCCCCAGCTCATCCTGTTCTCTTTCTTCAGGCGCCGGCGCGCGTTGGCGAACCAGGTGGACACCTGCGTCAGGCTCATCTTGGTGACGATGGCCAGCATGACCTTCTCGCCCTTGGTGGGGTACGGGTTCTTCAGGTGCTCGTTCAGCCAGGCCTTGAGCGCGCCGGTGCTCTCGCGGGTGGCCGCCTTGCCGGCCCTGGGGTCTTCGGCCGCCAGGGGGCGGTAGGTCGAGTACAGGGCCCCGGCGCGGCTAAGCAGAGCCCCGTGGTACAAAGACACGGCTTTGGGGTCAAAACAGCTCTGAAGGAAGGGAGGAAAAAAAAGTCGAGTTAATTAGACAGCTGTTAAGCGTCTTGAAAACGGACGCAAACGTTTATTTGTCATCGTACGATTATTTTAATTGAAATGTATATAAAGTGGTTGAAAAAAGAAGGTTTATTTAATCCACGTATAGCATTTATATTAAAATGCATCACAAACGGAGACTGACTTGTGATTTCACCCAGGGACGGTCATTTGAAACCCGCATCGACGGGCCTGACGCTCAAGGGAGAAAAGTCGCTATAAAAAAAAGTAACCGAAAACAAAAAAAAATCCACGAAACAAAAAGAATACGGTAAAGGGTTGGAGGACCGGGAAGCCTAAAAGGAAGCGACACGGGACTCGCAGTCGCCCGGTATGAAATTGCAGCGCGACTCGCGTCCTGTCTTCACATCGCCTCCCCGGGAAAGCATTTTCTGCGCATCTCCCGAAACAGAGCGGATTGCACAGTTACCCCGCCACCCGAGCGGTTCAACAGGGAGGAAAGCGAAGCTCGGCTTACCCTGTGCGCTCCGTGCCTCAGGTGAGGGTAAGGGACGAAACCGCAGTCCTGCACCCCGGGGAAAAACAGGGGCGCCGCCGCGAGGGCAGGGAAGGCAGGCGGCGGGGGGACCATCACGGTCTGATTCCCAGGCGGCAAGCGGAGGTTCTTCCCGAGGAATAAATCGCCGAATCCCGTTTGCGAGGCAGGCATCCTGGTCTTCCCGGTGTCAGCGCTCCGACAGCGGCGCGGCACCCCCTCACCTGAGCTCATATACTGCGCCGGGCGCGGGGCGGGCGGGGCCTCTCGCCGCTGACGGACAGGCCTGCTCTGCAAGACGGCCTTTTACAGCTCCAAATTCCTTCAAAGACCACCGCTGTTCCTTTTAGCGGAATCTCAAAGACGCTAAATACATGATAATCCTAAAGCCCAACCTGATATGTATTATAATGAAACGGATTACAAGACTTTCTTTAATCTAATAAAATATAGGCTGCGGCGAGAGAAGTCGAAAAGTCACCCCCAAATTAGCCCGTTTTCACACAAGCCGCGGAAATTAGATTTAATTTAGATCTAATGGATTTAAACAACACGCAGGATTGTAATTTACTCGTCGGGAAGTTTTTTTAAACGTTGATCTTTAATTAAAAATAAACGAGTGAACAAACCTACTTCTCCAAAACCTGGACGGGTTTAACGATACGATTCTTTGGTGGGAAGGAAATATATGCGTGTAAAAAGTAATTTCCCGTCGCCTTGAAAATTAGATTCCCAGAATACCACAACGTAATAATAAAACAATTCCACTCAATCCGTTAGATCAAGTTAATTGTGAGGAGAAACAAAACAGTTTATTTACGCCTGTTGGCTAACCACTCAAATCGCATAGTATCAACGATTCAGTTTTAAATGCAACGCCTGCGTATCGACGAACCGGATACGCATTAGCCCCAATTCAGCGTTGGATGTTAGTAAAATTAAATCCATTGGATATACAGTGTAACCCTCTTAAATTATCTTCATCTAAGATCACATTTTAAATGGATCACACTAGACAAATGGGACAGTACAGTAGGCCTTTTAAAAGGAATGTGTGCAAGTGAATAAAATAACGAAATGGACAGCCCCTGTTTATAACTAGTTTTTGAACTTGGTCCACTGACCGACGTTTTATAGTTTGTTGTTTACTAGAGTTTCTTAGATCCTCATGATGGATATCTTACGTAATTGACTCAAAAAATATAAATAATAGTAATGCTTACATAAAATATATATTGGGTGCACTGTTCTTATATAGGTATCGTTTTTGTCAAATACGGATTACTTTCTACCGTTCGCTTGATTAGAAACATGCCTTCTACGAAGCACAGAAATTAAAACAGACATTTGCATATGAAGCGAGTCCCTGATCCGAGATCAGAAGAGCTGGAGAATGAAGCCCGTGTTTGTCAGACGCATTAACAAACACGGCTGTGTCGCTGAAGTCTGGCGGATACATGCGAATTAAATTAACCACATTTAATTCAGCAAATAGCTACAAAGATCACAGACCTTTGATCACGGATTTTCACATTTTCAAGAACTGTGCATTAACAGCGCTTTCCAGGGATGAAGTCTCAGAGGCCGATTATGACTGTGTGTTAAAACAGGCGGTGCCTGGAGCATCAACCTTAAATCATCAATTTATTAACACTCGGGGCAATTTCGTTTTGCAATTAAGTAATTAAGTGGATCAGCGATCATTTAAAAATGAAAACCCAAACGAGAAACACAGACGGCCTTTCCGGACTGAAACGACATTAATTGATTTAGTGAATTGATCACAACTCGCCTGTTTTCCATGTCTTTACGAACTGGCCCTTCGTTTAAATCGGTTTCCAAATACACTAAGAATACAATCGGAACTGCAAATATTTTTAGTTTACAAATCAACCTTACTTTAAATTGTCTTCTGGTTATAAAAGTGTTTATATTTACATTTGTCAATTGAAATCATTTAAATTATTTTAATTAATCATTTTTTTAGATAATGATATCATTTGTAATTCTGTATCGAGCAGAACAACGACAGAGTCACATGTGAAGATTTCAGATCTGTTTCGTCAGAGGGATACAGAGAGTGGCCTTACCGTACGTATTCATTCATTATAAATGAACCGTGTTTAAAAACCAATATAAACCAATCAGGATGCAGCTGAAAAGAATTAACACAAAAAAACGATTATTTTTAAAACTACTCCACCTAACTTCACCTAAGAAATCTCGTTGCGATTGAATCCGTCAGATTTTTTTAATTAACTATTTTATAAGCTAAAAAGTGTTTCCTGTCTCGCTACGAACAAAGATTTTTATTCGCAGGTCAAAGATAAATTGCCTTATTAGGACAGATTGTACTAATTCGGGTTGAATGGTTACTGCATTACAAAAAAACTGTTGTTTTTTTTTTGCTCATTAGTGTTTCTAAAGTGTCAGCTGTTTCTGTCCCTATCAGCCCACTGCCGCTCAATAGTCCTCATTAAACGTGCGTGGCGGAACAGGTGTCGGGTAATGTATATGATAATGACCAGATAACAGATGCTAATACAAGGTAGGCGGAGGGCACAGTTAAAAGACACCAAGATAAGGTTACAATGTTTTCCCCTCATTTTAAATTACTCCATGCATACCAATGCGAGCTTCCCTCCCTAAAAGGGGGAGATGTACACATACCGACCTGCCTATTCAAATCAGGAAACGGTTTTTTTCTCCATTTTGCCGAGTTAAGATTGTCGGTACTAATGTGTTTGGCTTGAATGGGGTGTCAAGGCATTAGCGCCGGGCGTGTGAAACACGAGTCGGCTCCTTACCTGTGGACAACCCGTAACCTCACAGCACGGCGCTGTCACCGTCTTTCCTTTTAACGAGACGCGTGTGTCGAGAGCATTTCTGCGTCTTGACCCGCAGACGCACACTTCACCATACGAATTAAACACGGATTCAATTACAATTATTTTTTTTTTTACCATCACCCAGGCGGTGGAGGGGAGTCCCCATTGCCCGTTAAGCCCTTTGAAGTGTCCAGAAAAGCCCTATTTAAGTGTGAGGAATTATTATTTAATTAGGTGTTCTTCGGAGCGTTAAAGGATCAGCGCTAATCTTGGAGAAATACTCTGTGCTGAAGCACCGCAAAGATCCAGACACTCTGGTTGGAACATGTTAAATAAATTGCCGCCCCAGTTGAACAGCTTTCAACGAAATCTTTGGGAATAAGTAAAAACGATAACCCAAGAATGTGATCCGTGGAAGCAGACAATGCAGTCTGACAAAGTTCCACGCAGGATTTTGTTTTGTTCTGTGAACTGTAAGCGTGGGTCTGTTTTAGCCTAGACGCTCGTAAGGTACTCGCTGAATCTCTGAGAGGGGCTGAGTTTGCGGGTGAGCAGCGGTAGTGACGGGCCTGATACAGACCGGGGAAAGGGACTCAAAATAAACAGTTTGTTCTACAGGACAAATTTGCTCAGCTTTTCTAAAGGGTGACGCAACCTCGCCCAGAGCCTGCTCTGTGTGCAAAGTAGACTCCAGTAGATTACAGATCTCCGACAGGAAACGGCTCTGGACAGACAAGCCTCTTTCTTGGGCTCTTCCAGATCTTATAGCAGGCCAGTGTGTGAAACAAGGACCACTGAAAACACTTGGGAACTATGGGGGAGTACGCCTCAGACTGGAAACAGGTGGCACTTCTTTACACAAAGGGCAGTGGGGGTCTGGAACAACCCGTCCATGTTATTTGAAGCCGATACCCTGGCCTTTCAGGAGACTGATGGATGAGATCCCTCAAGCAGCCGAGAGCTGGAAGGACAGAATTGTCTTCTCTCGTCTGTCACTGGTCTTCTGACCGCTGGTCTTAGCTCTCTTGCGCTCCTGGCTTGCGGGGGAGGACAGACGTTGGGGTTAGAACAGAACACGGATCTGAAGCTCCAGCCTCAGGGAACACGCTGCCTTCCTGCTCTCACCTTGCGGAGCTCTTCACTGCCTAATTGCACAAGCAGACCGGTCTAACGCTGTCATCAGTCTTCAGCTGTCAACGTCATAAAAGCAGGTTGGACACTGTTGCTGCTCCACCTACAGCCTAGGTTATAGCTGATGTGCCACAATCCAGCATACAGCACGACTCAGAGAGCCTGTTGTTTCCACTATCCTTCGGTCTCGGAGAAGCCAGAGTACCTGACTAGCAGCAAGTGTTACTGATCCTGAAACTCTTCCTTGCTTTCTGCTGGTGTGCCAGGAACAGGCTGAGAGCAATGGCTTACATATCAGCATATTAAAAAACTCTGATTTATGTTCTGATATATCTGCTATATAGGTCATACACATTTCACAGATCCTGTTTATTTGCTGAGAATTGTACTACACTGAAAATACAGACCCATTAAATCTGTAACAATTTCAGATTGTACTCACAGGGCTCGACATGAGGAATGCCTGTAAAATTGCTCCAGCTCTGCCTCTACATTGTCCTGCCTGCCAGAAAAACAGCAAGACATCTCTGCATACAAGTGAAGAAACGCCTTTTAGAAAAGCATTCCCTGCCTGGAGAGCTGACAACACAAACATTATTTGTAATGATGTTAAATTGCAGTGGGGCATAATTTACTAGCCATCACCTGCAATCATCAATGACAAAGGGTTGAAGCACAGGCTTTATTTGGAAGAGAAAGCCCTGAGCGAGTCTTTTCACTCCTGGCCAAGTGTTAACAAGTCACATGCAAAGAATGGAGCCTAAAGACAGCAGACAGGCTCTCTCTTTCCAAGGGCTCTCTGGCTTCTGCAGGGGAAGTGAAGCGCAGCACTATCTGAAAAGCAGCTTTTCTGATCTGCTCTGCTCTGCTACAGTTCTGTAAAACTACCAGTATCTTCACTGTAACGCAGATCACGAATACCAGGTATTATTAATACAGCTACTCTGCAGGAGGATGGACTAGAAGAACCTAAACTCTGCCAACAGCAGAGGGGGGCCTGTCCTGATGGTGTGAGTGCGCTTTAGAGAACGGGTCAGAGGAGCTCGTCCAGTCATCTCTTAACAGACTGGGGAGGAAGTGTCTCTCACAGCCTTCCTGGGCAGCTTCTTCCCTGAAGAGCAAGGTGCACTTATTGCTCCTGGAGTCACTGTACTTCCTTCAGAGTACCCTGTCACCCCCATCCCCAATTTCTGAATTCATATTTGTGGGTGCAAACCGAAAACACCGGGAGCAGGATTTAAGAGTAGCCCCTTTAAGCTGTAGAAATCTGATTTAACTCCTGCTTTATGGGAAAAAAAGGTATTATTATTGTTGTTACTGATATTATTTCTTTGTATTGTGCAAGCAGGACAAGGGCCTCCTAGAATTAATTTAAAAAATCAGTTGAATTAAAAAGACTTTTTTAGCAGCAAGGAGATGTTACAGTTTTTTTTTCGGGGGAAAAGAGAGACTCCAGTCTGAAGGTTGAATTTAATCATTGCTCAAAGTCACAGATTGCTTCTGAAACTCAGCTAAAGGTGTTGATTCAACCTTATAGCAAGTGAGAGTCTGCGTGTTCCCTGTTAAATTGCATCTAATCAGCGTTTACTCTTGTTTGATCAGTATCTCCTGTGAATTGGATTTATATATCGGTAAGTGTTGCACACACGCTGTTTCTTTGTTGTACTAGTTCAGGTGGGGAGCTGTGTCAGCATTCATAGGCTGCAAAGGAACAAGTAAAGGTTTATTCCCTGCTGAAAAGAGAAGGAAAGAAACACAACGTTTTGGTGGTGGAACACCCGAAGAAGGCTCAGCAGCCGAAACGTTGTGTTTCTTTTCTTCTCTTTTCAGCAGGGAATAAACCTTTACTTGTTCCTTTGCTGTACACTGCCCTGGGATGGGCAGTTTTTATAAATAAAGTTTGGAAAACGGGCTCATGAAGAAGCCTAATCGCAGGGCCCAGGGTTCACCCAGCAATCCCCATGGCTCCAGAGCCCCGACCGCTGCTGCCTCATGGGGCTCAATAAGCCTCCAGACACAGATGGATTGGCGTTATCGCGCTGTGCCACCCTCTCCAGGCGCCTGTCCCTGCCTCTATCAGTCTCACTCCATCTCCCTGTCGGGAGCCGGGGAGCAGCCCCCACCCCCCCGGCCCGTTAAAGCTGCTCTTTGTTCACACCCTGAGCCGAGCCTGGGCTCCCCAGGGCCCGCTGTGCTGGACGGGCCTCGTCCGTCAGCCCCCGAGGAGCTGCGTGACAGCCGGACAGGCCGTGCCCCCCCCGTCCCGGGTCGGTCCAGCGGGCCGCACCCCTGCAGCCCTCGTCAACGCCAGGCAGAGCTGCCAGCAGCACTCTCCCTCCTCACGCCGAGCTGATTGATTGGCGTTTGTAGTGGGTGGCCCCCTTTTTTGTGTTTGCAATTGCTAATGACAAAAACAGCATTCCCCATTATCCACCCCAACCCGCCCCCCAGCACACACACACACACACACACACACGACTGCACTGAGGCTCCCCCCCCGTTTCTCAAGAGCTGCTTTGTGAGAACATCTCATCAAGTTGCTCTCGCAAATACAAATACAGAGCATGCTATCTGCCCTCTCTCAGCTCACACACTCCGTTTCTCCCAGAGCCCTGACCACCGCTCACAGCACGACGCGGGGATCTTATCCTGACCCCCTCGACCTGTTCCCACTGGGCACACCTCCCGCTGCCCTGCTGAGCCCCCCCATGGAACTGGATTTGCATCAGCAAACTTAAAAAAACGAAACAAAGCGGATGTGTGTCGGTGTTATTTTGAAGTAGCACCCTTCAAAAATATCTAGATCAGCACTGTCCCGTATTTAATCAGCAGCTTGGAAAGCCCCCCGCGTGCTCTCCATCTCAGGGTGAAAAGTTCTGCGTGTGCCCCGTGGGTGACTGTAGCGGGGACATCGCCCTGTCCGCGCACACGTCTGCAGTGGCCCAGGCTGACCCCCTGACCCCTGACCCCTGACCCCGGCGCAGGAAAGCACCGCAGCTCCTCGGACTCTCATCCCAGTTGGATGTGGAGGCCTGGAGCCACAAGCCCTGCAGGTTAAAAAACCAACAGTGCTGAAGCTGCGCGTGCCGTTGTCTCCGCGTCTGTCACTCCAGGGTCCTCTCTTCGCTGGCGGGGAACATCCTCTGTCCGTTTCGGGAGCCCATGGTTCCCTGTCTGCGGCGGACTCTCCCCACACGCCCCCCCCCACGGTCCTGTTCCAGCCAGAAGCAGAAATCCAGCACCGCAAGGAGGAACGGGGCTAATGGGGTTAACGAGGCCGACGCCCTCGTTCGTTTTGTAAGGAGCCGGGGAGCCGGGGCTGCTCTCTGACCTGAACCCCCTCTTCGACACGCAGGCTCGCTGTACTTGTAAGAAAACCGCGACATGACATCTACATCTCAGGCCATTTGTAAAACAAAAAGTCCAAGCAGGCCGGGGGCGCGGGGCTGCGATGGAAATGAGCAGCTCTCCCAGCAGGGCGGACTAATCCCTCACAGAGGAGCTGGGGCACAGCAGTGCCCCCCTCCTGCCCATTGAAAACCAGCCCCCCTGTCCTGCCGCGGGCTCTCCCCACAGCGCCCCGGTTCCAGAACCCCTTCAGCAGAAGGGGGGGGGGGACAAGGGGGCTGGGGCAGGTGGGGAGGGAGGGGGAGGGGGGGGTTGAGGCCTCAAAGCCTGGGATTAGAGTTAATGTGCCTCCCTTGGTTTATAATCTCCTCAGAGGGGGCTTTGTTTGAGAGCTTGAGGGTGGCGAGATAAGTATCTATTACAGAAACGCCCCTCTTATCCCCCCCTACCCCCCACCCCTGGCAAAAAAAAACACACACACTTGCCTCCATTCCCCCCCTTCTCCTGATACCCACCACCGAAAACAAGCGCCCTTTTCAGCTAATCTGGAATTAGGAGATAAAGACCAGCGCAGCACCACCAGGCCCCATATTTAGTCCATCTGTGGCTCTCAAAGTAAATTACACCCACCCCTGCAGATCAAAGGCGCTGTGTAAAAATGGGATTAGTGGGTGAAAAGAAAGAGCAGGGGTGGTGGGGCGCAGGGCCCACGGCAGCAGAGCTGATAAGGGTCCAAATATCACCCCCCAGGGGGCAGGATAAAAGCGCCCCATTTCATGAACTGGCGGGGCTGGTGCTCGATCTCCAGGGCTGGGCCAGCGCGGAGGATCGCTGGTCCGCCCACCGCCGGGCCACTGGGCTGCTGGACCGAGACCGAGACCGAGACCGAGACCGAGACCGAGACCGAGACCGAGACCGAGACCGAGACCGAGACCGAGACCGAGACCGAGACCGGCAAATCACAGTCACAAGCCTGGACCCATTTCAATTTAATTTCACATAGGAAGCACAGGGAATGAATTGCATTATTTGTGATGATAAATAAAAAATATATTGCAATATATAGAAAACATAAATCACCTGTTTTTTTAAATAAAAAGGTACTTTGATATTTCACAGATATTTTTTGTAAGAAAATAAGTATAGTAAGGTTGAACGTGAGATATATGTAGATATATCAATTAAATACATTCAGCTATATACATATACAGAAACGTAACTGTTTTATATCTACAAAATTGAGACATTGAGTGTTTCAGTCCTTCAGGAAACCTAAAATGTGTTTAACAAAAGAATCAATCCTGCAAAAAACGCGTAGGAGTATTTTCTGGAATGTGAAGTTTCGGAGCGTGGCTCAACCCGGAGTCAAAGAAAGGAAAGCACATCCTAGACACTCTCAGCTCAACTGTGGCTTCCAGCACGGAAATCCTGGCATCCTTCACGACATAAAAAGAAACGTTTAAGATACAGAATTTCTCAACACGCGTCCCAGCCGAGCTCCCGGGATCTCGGCTCATCGGGGCTGTCCTCCGAACCAGCAAGAGCCCTCCGTCCGTGTCCAGGCTGCACCTGGGCGGAGGAGGACAGCTCACAGCTCGCTGCAGGCCCGGAGAATCACTGGACGCACAGCCCGGCCCGGCCCAGACAGGCAGAGCTCGGCGGTGCGGTGCTGGCTGGGGTCTCTGTCCGGCCATGAGCCCCCACCCGACTCTAGCGGGAGAACTTCCTGGGCCTGAACGTGGGGGGGATCAACAGTTGGGGTCCCCCCTTTTCGTCCGAGCCCGCCAGGTCCTCCACCGAGCCCCACTTCTTCTTGGTGCTGCCCCCCGCGGTCTTCGGCTGGAAGAGGGACCCCAGTTTCTTGGTCCTGCGCTCGCTGCCTTGAGGAACCGGGTATTCTGAGATGGGGAACAAAACCCACAAACAAGAGAAACCGAGTTGATCTGCTGAAAAGCACAGAAACAAAACTCTTAAGCACTTCAGTCTGGACACTCCAGCCGAGACGTTTTTAGGAACGTACACATAACAAACAGGAGGTACTTTTTTTACACAAAGGGTTGTGGGGGTCTGGGACAAGCTACCCAGCCATGTCGTTGAAGCTGATACTCATGCTTTCTATAAGACACGGCTGGATAAGACCCTCAGACCAATTTGCTAACCATCCAACAGAAGAAACAGGCTGAAAGGCCTCCTCTTGTTTGCAACCCGTGTCCCTTATGACCGTGATGAAATCCGAGGCCTATATCAGGAAGCAGGATACTGTCGGACAAGCCCAGGACACCACTGAGGCTGGACCTCAAAGCAGCACCAGTCACACAGCCCAACTCACGCAGGTCTCTTCCCTCCTTGTGGATCTCCTGCGTGCCGAGGTACTGGAGAGCCTTGTGCCCGCTGTAGTCTCGCAGGTCCTCCCGGGCACCTGAGGAACACAGACATGGGGCACGGGGTCACGTGCTCTGCCCATGGACGGGACGTGGGCCCCACTGCCTTTAAGACACTGAGCGCCCGAGACGTGTCTTACCATAGGTCTGGATGAGGAGGTCTATGATGTGCCTGTGTCCATGCAAGGCTGCAATATGAAGCGGAGTGTATCCCTAAGGAGGGAAATAATACAGTAGCTTATAAAGTACAGATAGGTACTTTATCACCATTTTGGAGTGAATTATTTATTTTATGGAGGAATAAAAAAAAACATCTTTCATTATCCTGCCTATTAGCCCCCCCCAAACATTTAAGGTGTGCAAATCTATCCCCTGTTCAACCCCATAGGAAGAACTACTGTTGCATTTCTGGCGGATTTCAGAGGAGCCAAGTGGGCACAAAGACAGCTCTCTGTCTGAGTTGCAGGAGTCTCAGCGTGTTCAAGCCTGCTGTAGATGGGGCAGTTTTTCTCTTTATTTACTTCACTGATTATTTGGATCAGAAGGGAAACTGCTTGTGTTTTAGATCTTTAATCTGATGCTATTGAGAATTGAAAACCACCTGTAAACCTGCAGGACTGCAGCTGCACTCGCTGATCCAGAGATGCCAGTCCTGGTCCTGAAGGACCGGCCAGTTGTCCTGGGTCTGTTTAAAGCTCCAGTACCCGCAGGGCTGGGAGCTGCGATTGTAACTGGGCTCATAATGAACTCACTTGAGATCATGAAGAGACAATGTATAATAAAAACCTGCAGACACACAGGCCTCCCAAGACCAGGACTGGACAGCTAACTGGATCCTTACAAATCCTATCAATGACCAGATATACTTACTCCCTGGGACGTCACAGGCCCAGTCCAGGAGAAACAGCGTGGAAAACAAAACAAAAAAGCACAAAGTTCATCAGCTGAACGCACTTAAGGTAACCAAGTCTAATTCATAAGTGTCACATTTTTCTACACAGTATACAAAACATATAGGTTTAAACGATGTTAAAAACATCAATAAACAATTGGAATTATAGGTAATTTAATAAAAACTATACCTTAAACACAAAATCAAAAAGATATTCCACATCAGAATGTGTAGCAGAGCTGACAAGAAAAATACTTACATGCTGCAGGAGACCCACGCCACGCACACATACAGACAAGGAAACAGAGAAAACGTTGCAGTTAAAGTTTTGAAGCGGTGCAGTTTGCTGCCAGCGGTAAGAGATGCCAACCCTGGGCTGCTCTTTCAGAAACAGATCCCCCCCCCCAGACCGCTGCCAACCCTCGACTACACAGTGCACAAACACACACCCAGCACGTTCGCGCCCCCTGCCCCGGCACCATCAGCCCCCGCGGGGCGGGACCATGCTCGCTTAAGAAACCCGCTCCTCTGCCTGCTGCGCCAATGGGCGTCGACGTGCAGTTGGCGCTGGAGACCCGGGCGCGCAGACTCACCGCTCTGCAGTTGACGTCCGCCCCGGCTCCGGCCAGCGCGGCGGCCATGTCCTCCCGGCCGTGCTTGGCAGCCCAGTGCAGGGCCGTCTGCAAAGCAGCGGGGGGGGGGGGGTCAGTCAGGAGGAGGGCGTACACCCCGCCGGCGTGGCAGGCCCCAAACCCACCCCCCACGCCCGGGCCAGCGGCGGCCCCCGCGGTTTGTGAACGAGGACGGGGGGGTGGAGGACAGCCCTGCAGTACGAGAGGCTGTGGGGTGGACGAGGACCACGAGGGGCCGGGGCCTGCTCTCCCCCGACAGCCAGCCAGCTGCACGGGGGCGGGCCGAGTGCTGTTTCCTGCCATTTAACACAGCTAATTACAAAACAACAAGCTGAGCGTGCCCACGGCGGGGGGCAGGCGGGGGGCTGTCAGCCAGGGAAGATTGATGATGTTGGTGTGACCCACAGATGCCAGCCTCCTTCCAGCCCGTCAAGAGCTGACAGCGCCGCTGCCCCCCCACCACGGCAATTACCCCGATTCATATTTACACCCCAAAAATGATGTCTGAAATGACTGTAATTGCGAGGCCGTGATTAGGCAGTTTTTTTTCAGCGAAGCCCGTCTATCCTGTTTGCTGACAGGGTGCAAATTACACTTCACCGCTGTCTAAGCAACACGCCCCCTCCCTGCCCAGCCCGGCCTCTGAGGCCGCTGCTCTGACAGCGAGGCAGGGAGGCAGCGCTGGGCTCTGCGCTGCTCCAGCCACCTGCCGTGAGGGAGCACAGATAAAGCTACCTTCCACCTCCCATCCCCTTCTTACTGTCCAAGCACAGAACACAGGCTTCTCAAGATATTCCCTCGAGAAACACTGATTGTATTCAGACAGATCACTGAATCTCAGTGAAATCCGCAGAGCAACTATGTACACACAGGCGAGTGAAACATGAGATATAGAAGGAGCAGTGCCCAGGTGAACTGTGTCACACCTGGGAATGCCAAACAGTGTCAGGACTCTCAGGCCAGCAGGCCTAGATTCACCACCACTGCCTCTGTGCAGCACACAAGCGTGTCTGGAGCTCCTGGGCGCATGATTGATGTGTCTGTCTGTGGTATTTGCATGTCTGTGCCCTCACACCCCCCTGCAGTCTGAGTGATCAGCGGGCGATCTGACTGCGCTGACGGACATCTCCACACAGCGGGGCAGGGACCTGTCCCCCTTGGTGGGCTGCACAGAGACACTGGCCCACCAGTGCAGGCCCGAGCTCCTCTTCCCCTGAACAGAATGGGCTTGAACAGGACCCACACTGCTGCAGCTCAGGAACACCCCAGCGCCCCCATGTCCCACCGCCAAGAAACAAGACGGGGAGAAAGAAGTGATGTACTTACAAACTGGCGACGGGCCGGGCAGGAGACAGGGCGCGTTCCATTGGCATGCAGGGAGAGAGAGACACAGGAGAACAGAGAAGTCAGGGCGGGCTCTGCTTTCAAATATGGTGAGGAAAGGAAACAAAAAGCTTACTGTGGAAAAGCCGTATTAAAAGACAGAAGAAGGAAATGTTTATTCCTCTGTCCTGTACCCCCCATTGTGGCTATGGAGACATCCCACTGAAATGGATTTGTGAGGGACTACTCCACCGTGGGACCGGACAGACACACCACAGACAGACCCGCCGGACAGGGTGTGACGAGCAGCCGGAGCACAGGGGCCGGGAGGAGGGGTTCCCTGCCCCCTGCCTCGAGGCGGACTGGCCCAGAGGCTGGGGACAGCGCCCTCTGCAGGGCAGTGAGCGTGAAGCACATGGCTGCCGTCCGCTGGGGCGATGCCCAGAGACTGGACCGCACTCCTCGAGGACTGTCCGGCCCTCGACAGGACATGGGGGAGGTGGCCCCAAGGCATCCTCGAAATGACCATCCCCACAACAACAGCCCCGTTAACCCCTTGTTGACTGAGGCCTCGGAGCACAGGGGCTTCTAAATTGGCTTTCCAGGGGGAACCGCGGCTCACACACAGCGGCGGAGAGCTCAGCACCGCCGCAGGGAGGATTCCCGGGCACGGCTTCGCACAGCCAGTATTCCACGGAGAAGAGAACATCAAAGGCAAGGAAGGGATTTAACACCATCGGCCATTGTCCGCCAATTAATCCTGCCTCCTCTGTTACTTTCAGATTATCTTCAAGAGGGCCCGGGGCTTTGTGCTGCTCAAGGGGCTCCTGATGATCCCTGACACTTCAATGCCGGCCGAGTGTCTGGTCTCCTCAGAAGGAGGTCTGAAGCCGCTGAGGGAGCCCCCCCCCCCAGGGGTTACAGAACCCGCCGTGCGTGTGCGTGTGCGTGCGGTTTTCAAGATTTCCTCAGGACCCACCTCTGGTACCCCCCTCCTGGTACCGCCAGGACTGCCAGAACCGTGTGGCTCTGAGCTCACACGGACTGAGACCCGAAGGACGCTGGGGTTCCTGCAGCAGGGCCGGGGGCTGCGAGACCCCCAGCCTCCCAGCAGCTGCTCTCAGGTCTTCCCTCTGTCCTCTACCCCATCATGGAGACATCCCACTGAATCGCATTTGCAAGGGGCTTTCACATGCGTCACACACCACGGACAGACCCGCCGGACAGGGGGAGACGAGCAGCCGGAGCACAGGGGCCGGGAGGAGGGGTTCCCTGGCCCCTGCCGCGAGGCGGACTGGCCCAGAGGCTGGGGACAGCGCCCTCTGCAGGGCAGTGAGCGTGAAGCACATGGCTGCAGCCCGCTGGGGCGACGCTCAGAGACTGGACCGCACTCCTCGACAAGACTGTTCTCTGAAGGGGACAGCCTCTGAGGAGTACTGTCTGAGGAGGACTTTCTGTCTGCACACCAAGTACTGACCTGGCACTGAACACAGGCATCAAAACTGAAGTCAAAAAGTCACTACCTGTAATTAACACAGATGCACTAAAGCACATTTAAAAGTCCAAACATTCGGGCACAAGAAAGCAGTGAGAAGGCTGCGACACCGCGAGACTCACCCCCTGGGAGAGAAGCCCACCGTGCAGCCAGGGACCGCAGAAGAGACCCCAGAAAGAAAACAGAGGGCATAATTAGACACTGCTGGGGACCTCCAGGGGCCAGAGGGCGACGGCCACTCAGGGCAGCGGCACGCACCCGGGCTGCCAGGCCCCCCACTCCCGCGCCACAGCGGGGCCCCCGGCGGGCCGGAGGAGCCTGCGAGCCGGACAGACAGACGGAGAGGAAAGGACAAAAACACACTCATACTTACAGAGGTGAAGTCCTGGTGTCAACCGAGAAGGAAGAGAAAATACAGTGAGTTACATTTCAGGAGCAAAACCGACGGCCTCCGCGCCCGACTGCACGAGCTGGCGCGTTAAGCACAGATTCAGGAAATAAGGCCGGCTGCTATGGCCTTTGACTGGTCCACCACACCGGGGCTCAGGCCGTACCTTCTTGCAGGCCAGGGACGGCTCTTGCTTGAGGAGCTGGGCCAGGTGGGCCAGCTGCCCGCACGCTGCCGAGCGCATCCACTCCTTCTCCAGCGGATCCAGCTGCGGACACAGAGGAGACCCGGGATGGGCTTCCGGATAACCACCTCCGCGGCGGCGGGAGCAGTCCGCCAGCCTGCACCCAGCCTGCGGGCAGCGGCACGAGGGCTGCCCCGTCTCACCCCGCGCAGCACCAGCTTCACACTCGCCGCGGCCGGCCGCGCTCACGACCGCCCACAAACCACCCGCCCGGCTCCCTCGGCCTCTCCGTGTGGCCCTCTCCTCCACCGCTCTGCTCTGGGCACAGTCCAGAGCAGCAAATCTGCTGACCAAAACTGTTCTCAATACTCTAAACCTCATCGTACCTTTTCAACAACAGCAGCTCCCAGCTGGCCGCCCACTGGAGCTCAGCAGGCGTGAGCCTGGCCAGTACCTGGAGGGGAGACCTCCTGGGAAAGCTAGGGTTGCTGCTGGAAGAGGAGTAAGTGGGGCCAACAGGGGGCGCTCACCCTGTGGTCCATGTGGGTCCTAATGCCCCAGGATAGTGACGGGACACTATACTGTAAAAAAGCGCCATCCTTCGGATGAGACGTAAAACCGAGGTCCTGACTCTCTGTGGTCATTAAAAATCCCAGGGTGTTTCTCGAAAAGAGTAGGGGTGTAACCCCAGCATCCTGGCCAAATTTCCCCCTGGCCCTTACCAGTCATGGCCTCCTAATAATCCCCCCTCTCTGAACTGGCTTCATCA